GTACATACAAATAATTTTAGGTCAATCAATAGACACACTACTGCTATGACATTTTTATGAATTCATTTTAAGAAAACCTATATAGTTGTAAAAATATTTAAATTTTCAATGACTTATTGTAATAGAATACACATAATAAATGAATTCAGTACAATTGATGCGAAGTAATATTGTTTGTACAATAGCTTACAATATTGCTCAGAGATAAATATGATTTTTCCTTAATTATATTCCATATGGGATTATCAGGACCCAAGTAATTTATTACTTCCAATTGTTTTTTAATCAATAATAGTCCGAGTTTTATCTTGCAACCACAAGGGTAACCTCGGACTTCACGATAATCAAATAACGTTCGGAATAATTAAAATTTTCCATATCGTAATTATAGAAGATTTATAAAAATATATCGTACCTCATTTCGAACATCCATGGTTAAATCCATACACCGTATAAAACATTAAAAATAATGCCAGCAGAGAAACATGAGGCTCCGGTGATTTGTGTCGGCGATACAAAGGAGCGGCGTTGATATTACCAATTTTGTTTTTTATTTATGTGGAAATTATGTAAAAAGTGCACTCGATTATAAAAACACGATATTTATATTAGTTTTATGCGCCGATAAATTGGGGAAAAGGGATATAAATTATTAACAAATTACACAATACGAACGATCATATTTCGGCAGTTGCATAGTTAAAATGGGCTAAGCAGAAGCACGTTGCTGCACGTTGCTTCACTGCTGTTTCTTTTGTTCACGAGATTGGCGCCGCCACTATTATCATCGAAAATATTCTATTATTTACATTTGTCAAATTAGTAAAATTTCTCCAAAAACTATTCTACGATACTGGTTATCTTCTTAAACTGTTTCTATAATAATTGTTACGTATATATATTAAATTTATATAAGTCAGATTTATGACTGATGTGCTTGAGAAGTCAGTTACTGATCTACAACAGTGCTGTTTCATGAATCTCAGATCTGTCAGAGACTAACTTCACGTCGTTCACATTTCTAACTATACATATATACATATGNTCGTAATTATAGAAGATTTATAAAAATATATCGTACCTCATTTCGAACATCCATGGTTAAATCCATACACCGTATAAAACATTAAAAATAATGCCAGCAGAGAAACATGAGGCTCCGGTGATTTGTGTCGGCGATACAAAGGAGCGGCGTTGATATTACCAATTTTGTTTTTTATTTATGTGGAAATTATGTAAAAAGTGCACTCGATTATAAAAACACGATATTTATATTAGTTTTATGCGCCGATAAATTGGGGAAAAGGGATATAAATTATTAACAAATTACACAATACGAACGATCATATTTCGGCAGTTGCATAGTTAAAATGGGCTAAGCAGAAGCACGTTGCTGCACGTTGCTTCACTGCTGTTTCTTTTGTTCACGAGATTGGCGCCGCCACTATTATCATCGAAAATATTCTATTATTTACATTTGTCAAATTAGTAAAATTTCTCCAAAAACTATTCTACGATACTGGTTATCTTCTTAAACTGTTTCTATAATAATTGTTACGTATATATATTAAATTTATATAAGTCAGATTTATGACTGATGTGCTTGAGAAGTCAGTTACT